CTCTTACACATTTCAGTTAATAGAGATTAATCAGAAGTAATGTGAACAACTGTACAATTAGTCTACTGTGCTTGATTTTCCTTAACACTTAAACTACTACTAGAAAAAAAGTTGAAAAAATAGTTCTTAAAAGTGTATAAAAAGCTTGAAAACATGAAGAGGCATCCACAAATTAGTGGAATTATAATATCTTCAACTGCAAAATGCACAGCGATCAATTTTCCTAATACTACAAACATTAAGTCTTAACTTTATAGTATATTTTGAAACTTTAATAAACCCAAACAAAATAATATATATGTCAAGCAATGAACAACTCTCAAATACAAAGAATGATTATCACTATTGACATCTACATCTTCTAGTCCCTGGCAACAAATTCCTCCAAGAAATGGTTATACGATATGAATCAAGAAAATCTCACTGCTCCAAAACACCTTCACCATTTTATATGTTGACACCAACACCTGCATCACGAACCATCAGGAATCATAATTCCTTTTGATTATAGTTGTTGCCGAATGATCCCGTATTCTGTACTGGATCTATTTTCAGAATACGGCACTGAGAAACTGTCATCAAAAATCTTCCTATAACCTCAACCCCTACAAGCAGGAACGGTGCCTAATGGAGGGAGATAAACCATGTCTAAGCCATTATCTAACTAACTGACATGATCAAGCAAAGGATTACTTGGAATCACTAGCATAACCACATCTGACATTCCTCGTAACCAAGGAGTTTATGCCAATAAAATGCCAATAACTGTTTGTGTGGTCTCGAAGTACTAGTCTAAATACTGAACAATCATACAAATTCTACCCACTTCTAAATAATTTCTGAACTGAAAAAATATAATAAGAAAAGAAGATCCACGCAAGTGTCATATCTAAAAACAGATGCTAAAGATTGAAAGATGAAAATTATAAAATCCGAACCAATTCTATTTCTGTTATAAGAAGAAAAGCTGATTATTCAGAATAGGTCCTCGACATACAACAGTGGCTGGTTCCTTCGTTGACAACATTTCAACAGCCAATCACATATCGTGGGGGTTTGTCTGTTTCTGCTGTAGAACCAAGCACGCAGACCATATCATTACCAGACTTCCATGTGTAAGCATAGATTCGCAAAGTTTAATAAGCAGTTGTGGCCTTAACTTTACTCTCACTAAATAAATTGTTGCACCAATTCACATAGCATTACTTCATGGCCGTTGTTTCTTATTCCTCTCTATTCACACAATACAATTCACGTATTTCCCTTGAAAAAATAATAAAAAATAGGACATACAATCTTAAAACCAAAAAAGTAAACTTCACCTGCCAATTAAACACTAATCTGTCTTACCGAGACATAGCAACAGCGTCCAATTAAAGTGACAAAACACCCCAATCAAAATTAAACACACACCACACAACCGTAATGGAACACGAGAATGAGAAACAAGAGTGAAAAAGGCAATCATATGATCGAGTGTCAGTAATTACGAAGGTGACAGGAGAGCGACCAACCGTGAAGGCAGTCGGATACACCTGACTTCCGGAGAAAGTTTCCAAAAGAGCTCTTGAATGAATTGAAAACGATGAAGAGCTACGAGAAAATGACGACACACTCCATCAAAGACATCCTCGATCTGTGAATGACATCCTGTAAAATCTGTTGATAATCGACTGATCGCTTACGAAGGTTACTGACACTTTCTCGCTCCATCTTTATCTCTGTTAATTCGCTTTTCCTCACCTGTCTTTTCCTTCCATGCTGCTTGTAAGTCACTCAGGAACCTGACATGGCTGGCAATTAAAGCTGTTGTGTTGATTTAGTCGCGGAATTAATAATATAAAGGAGAGATTCACAGCATCAGACTTGTCTCCAGCGTCTTCAAAACAGCTGATTTCGAACGCGTCCGATTCGCTGCCTTCCCCACCCGTATTTTGCTATTTTCATGTTTGTTCGTGAATTTTATTTTACATTCGGATTTGAAATACATTTTATCTTTTCAATTTAAACATAGAACGACTTTCTTTGAACACACTGTACATCTAGATTGAGTTATTATAAAATAAAGTACGAAGCATTGCATACTTACCTATTTATTCAAATCAATAGTGCTTTCTTTAAAATTACATCATGGCAAAACGGATCATCATTATCAGACAGACTCATGTCAAATTTAACCTTGATCTGGAGTTAATATAAACAAAGGAGTCCATCAAGGGAAACGAACAATCAAGCTTACCACACCTGACGCCACATGCAACTTCCCTTGTTGATAAAAGACTTTTCTGTTGCATTCTTTATTGATAAACAATTTTTAACAGCTAGAAAAATACGACCCTGACATGCATTTGGACTCTCATACACCCAGCAGACAGCCTTCTTAATAATTAATTTTGTAAGAACCGCGCTACACTTCACCGCAAACAAACAACATAATAAACACACAACCGGACATCACAAACTTCCTGAACAATGTACACGTTCCATTTACAACACATAGCGACTCCCCAACAATCATTACTCATTCACACGGAACCGAAACCACATCGCACAACCACCCAAAGTATCCCATTATACCAATATTGAAGTTACCCCCACACTCAAAATAAATAAAGTTACACACACTCCAGTATAAAATACCAACCGATAGCAAGGACTATAAACTTATATATTAAATAATACAATACCATGACAATACCACACACATCCTCGCATACCAAACTATCAAGAGCGAGTGCCACTTCAGCTCGAGGTCGCTCCAAAATCTATTGCTTTTCCAGATTAGGATTTTAAGCGTTAAATTCTCGCATCTGGAGCAATGGAGTACGAGCTGTTGGGTCGAGTGTCGAGACAAAGCGACTAGGAAGCTTTTCTCAAGGAAGCAAAGAAAGGAGAGGAAGTTGTATATATATATATATATATATATATATATATATATATATATATATGTATGTATGTATATATGTATATATACATACATATATATATATATATATATATATATATATATATATATATATATAGAGAGAGAGAGAGAGAGAGAGAGAGAGAGAGAGAGAGAGAGAGAGAGATAAGCACATAGAGAAAGACTTTGTTTGATTTCCGTGCCTCTCTTTTATATCTCCAGTCCAATATATGTATTACTTCTCTGCCATGCAAAATATTCAGAAAGGATAGACGGTATAATCTAATCCAACTTTGTCCACTTATTCAGTAGCTCTTATCTAGTAATAAAGTCCCTGGATTTTACAATCATAAGATGTATTTATTAATTACCTTTGTTTAGGTATTATACTTTTAAACAGTGTAGCTAATTAAAGATCAGCTCCGTGGAACTACCTCTACCATTCAATATCAACATATGCAATGAAAAAAATAAGAAAACACAGAAAATATAAACTCTTTGTTAATTATCTTTAACCAAATGTTATTACTGAAGAGTCACGCTTCGTTCATTTGTTTTGACTCCAGCCTTTAACTCCGTGTATGGAAAAGGATAACAAACACACTACCTTACCGTTAGGCTGTGTCCCAACCAGTGACAAAACTCGGTGGAAACATTAATTAAGACTGACAAGTTGGGTAACAAGTTGTTAAGTCGTCGAGGAACCATTGTTGTAGACATGTTTGTACGGATTTGTTGGGTGACATGTTAGCTGGTGTGGACGAGGTGATGTCGGCAGAGACCTTCCACCAACCGACAGATCGACATGGTGTGGATAGTTTCACCAAGTCGACTCTTATTGCCGACATGTCTCTCAACATTGTAACAGATATGTCCCCATACATATCAGGAGATTTGTATCCGAAGGTTTCCTGTTGTGTCCCCCACAATGTTTCCAATCTGTCTCCAAGCAACATGTCACTGGTGTGGATGCAGTCTTACAAGGCCAGATAAAAACAGGTAATGTCATTTTCATCGATCAGAGACACACGCGTTCTCCAATATATGTAATCGGTGATAGACTAGATACAGGAATAAGTGTTGAAATTACAACAAAAATGCATTATTGTAGAGTACATAATAACGATGGCATCGGATTTGTAAAACATGTAATATATTTTTTTCTCTAGGTATTAGTAAAAAATGATGAATATAACTTTTTGGTTAGTTTTTGGGATCACCATTACTTGGTACATTTGCTCCAGATATAACAAATCTACGAGGATATAACTATCTAATTTTGCAATCAGTGATTCAATCTTATTTACAAGCTGGTACTTCTTCAGGCCCGAGGGATGCTTCCTGTCAGCTGCATGGTGCTCGCGATTCAGGGAGTCTACAGTTGGTATCAAATAAGCCCAGACGACATCGAATCTGGCGTAGAATGTTTACAATAAGCGCGATGGGCTCTGCTGTTGAGGCGTAGAACGTTCCTCCATGGCTGCCAGTATCTCCTCCACTTCAGCCTTCCCAGGGACAGCAGGATGTCTGTGGATAGGATTTTACCACCACTATTTCCCCATTAACAGTGTGAGCCCTGGCACCACAGGATCTGTCTTCGCATCTCTACTTACCTTTGTCATGGAAGTCCCTCTCCTTCGCGAAGAGATATGCTGGCCAACTCTCCGTTTCTCAGTCGCCAGGTATGACGGTATGATTCGATAAGCCTCGGGGACGCTGACTCGAGTAGGTGGAGGAGGATAATCACTCAATCCTTCGTAAGATAAAACATCGAACTCGGGGTAGGTTGGTAAAGGAAGTTCCATGCTGAACGATATCTCAGTTCAGTTAGATTTGCCCGGGCCTCTTTATCTAGAGTGGCCCGGCCTGTGTCATGTATTTCTAGTTGACTTGTGTGTTTTCTTTGAACTGTATGCTTAGCGTGGAAGCTGGATTGCCAACAAACGATCCAGCTGCCACGGCGTAAGCATGTGACATACCCTTTTTACCAGATTTTTTTTTGTGGTGCGGGGTCCCTGTCTCAGAAATTGCGCGTGTTCACAATTCTGTAAATAATGTAACAGGGTGGCGTTCGCACTGCTTACATTCCCAGTCAACCACGCTATCGATAATTTGCCAAGCGCATGGGTAACCTAGTCTTAATCTGTGCAGTATGGCGACTAGGTTACCCACGCGCTTGGCAAATTATTGATGACGTGGTTGTCAGGGAATGTAAGCATTGCCGCGACCTGGACGCCACCCTGTTACACGTTACCTCACTCAGTATCTCACTATAGAATTGATCCTATAAAGTATGATCTTATATATATATATATATATATATATATATATATATATATATATATATGTATGTATATATATATATATATATATATATATATATATATATATATATATATATATATATATATATATATACCTCACTCCTTGAATGTTCCTTAATATAGCAAGAAATGAGACACACGGCTAAAAGGAACGCTGAAACATGAGGTTATCCGTTTGCAATATGGAAGTGGCGGAAGTTAGAGCAATTAGGGCAGGTAAGGTCAGTGGACGACCAGACACCTCACGTAACACAGTCACCGAGATATAGTGTCTGGCCGACATTGAGTCACACCCGTCATACAAGTTTACGACTTTCCTTTCAGGTCATAGGGGCCACACGACGTAGAAACCGTGCATCATTTATGTATCTATATATGTACATACATACATACATACATACATACATACATATATATATATATATATATATATATATATATATATATATATATATATATATATATATATATATATATATATAATATATATATATATATATATATATATATAATATATATATATATATATATATATATATATATATATATATATACATATATATGTATATATATATATATATATAATATATATATATATAATATATTATATACATATATATGTATGTGTTTTGTGTGTGGGTGTACACACATACGTGTGCAGCACACACGCACACACACACACATATATATACATATATATCCACATTTGAGAATGATCGTAAGTATTTTTGTGAAAATACCTGTACGTGTTTTTTTCCCTGGCTAAAACCTTATATACACTAAAAGATAACGTTTATCTTTCCTCCTCCTTAACCTCTGCACGCCCCGCCCACCCACGCAAACTTTGCCCTTAAAGCCAAGACCTTTGACCTAAATTCAGACCCAGCAAACTTTGCAGAATATACGTTGGCGAAAAGAAGTCGGTCCCAAGATGTCGCTGTGCCTGCGTGATGCATATTCAACGGCTCAGGAAGATCTGGTCTAACACGCCATGCAAGTCGGTGATCACCTCTGGGCAGGGAAGGAACGGCCATGTTTTCGTCGTTTCCGCTTCTTTCCTGCTCGTTAGCGATTTTTTTTTTTTTTGTGTGTATGTTAGTATGGACTTGATTTTTTTTTTTGTTGTTTATGTAGGAAGATTGAGTGTGAAGGAAATCAGGAATGTGAGCCTTGTTTACCGGATCATAGGACTCGAAGCGGTATACCCCCTTTTTCTTACTCGCATTTTTAACCTTATTTTCTTTCTTTTACTCCCTGGCGTTATCTAAGACATTGCGTTATGGGATTTTTTATGTCCTTTTGGGAGGATAGGAAGCTATTAGGGGGAAGGTTCCAATATAATTTGCTTTATTTTCGATCGCAACGACTTTCTTTACGGTCACTAATTCCGGGTCAGAAAGCTTTTGCGCGCCAAAAGCTAATCACGCGTAGTGTGGGTTGTGACGTCAGACTTCAGGAGCCAATCAGCTTGCGTCATTTCCACCACCCTTCTTAGTTTCACAAAAAGGGTAAGCAAGAAAGAAAGAAGAAAAAAGTAGTACAAAAGTTATAATTTTGTTAGCTAACTAGTTATCCGTTAATCTAAGTTTAGAGGTGATTTTTTTTTAATTCGTTAATAGGCTAATGATGTTTACTGCTAACGTAATGACGTAATGGTTACAGTGGCGATCGCTATGACGTCATGTCTACTAACAGCCATGCGCGATTGTAGCCAAGTCTCACCAGATGAAATTTAACCGCTCGATATCACACTCTAGAAAATGCAAGTGATTCCCATAAATATTATGGTTTATGGCGCAACCTAAAGGGGTACCTCCACCTTATGGAAATACGTTGTCATTGAATATTTTAGAATAGAAGCTCTCCGTAACTGTTATAAACGTAGTATATATGATAACATCTATCTGGGATGCATGACTTGAGGTGCTCATGACGTCAACAAACACTGCCTGATTTTGCATGATCAGACACCTGCTCGAACACGGCTTGTCACTTCCTGTAAATCGTGTGGTGGATGCCAGCTGATCTATCCATAAAGTGTATATTTCCCAGAGAAGTCTCTCTCTCTCTCTCTCTCTCTCTCTCTCTCTCTCTCTCTCTCTCTTCTCTCTCTCTCTCTCTCTCTCTCTCTCTCTCTCTCTCTCTCTCTCTCTCTCTCTCTCTCTCTCTCTCTCTCTCTCTCTCTCTCTCTCTGTATGCTGTTATATAGTTATATATAACAGCATACATGATACCTCTAGTAACATAATTCGTATCATAAAATTAGAAGAAAACAAAAACGTAAAACAAGAAAGAATACCTGTAGTTTTTTTTTTTCGCATAAATCCTACGCCAAAGAATTACACTTGTTTTGGGAACGAAATCATAAATCATTGTCTCTTCACAGTCCTCTTGCTGGGAGAATAATAGAGCGTCGCTGGAACATTTTTTTTTTTTTTATTTTTATTTATTATTATTTTTTTTTTGCAAAGATCATTTGTATTTGTGTCACTTTAAAATGCCGGCTTACGTTGCAATATTTCGTCCAAAAAAGGGGGTCGTCTTTTCCCTATGATATTTGCATCTGTCCCTGGGCGCGCTTCTTGTTATGATGACTGTCTGTTTGTTTTTATCTGTCTGTCTGTCTATATATCTTGTCTATCTATCCATCTAGCTATCTTTCTTTCTATCCATTCATATACGTATCTATTTGTCTATCCATCCATCTATATACCTATCTATCTTTCTCTCTATTCATCCATCCATCCATCTATATATCTATCTTTCTCTTTATCTATCCATCTACCTATCTTTCTCTATCCATCCATCCATCTATCTATCTTTCTCTTTATCCATCTCTCTCTCTCTCCTTTCTTTCTTTCTCTCTTTCTCTCTCTCTCTCTCTCTCTCTCTCTCTCTCTCTCTCTCTCTCTCTCCTCTCTCTCTCTCTCTCTCTCTCTCTCTCTCTCTCTCTCTCTCTCTCTCTCTATCTATCTATCTATCTCCCTATCCATCTATTCATTTGTCTATTTCTAGTATTTCCGTGTCTTTTTGTATTTTTGTATTTCTCTATTCATTAGTTTCGTTATCATTTGTTTTTCTTCTTTTGCTTTTCACTATCATTGTGTCAACAAAATCTATTGTAATTCCAACTAGTATTCGTAAGAAATATGGGCTGTTAGTGTATATGTATTTAAATCGGGGAGGTAAGGTCGAAATACTCAAATTTCAATAAGAATTCCATTCCTTAAGCACAAATGCCTCTCAACGATAAATAAACCCGATTGGAGAAAAATGATAATAGCAATAATGATAATGAGGTTAATGATAATAATCAAACATCATCATTACTAATATCATTATCATTATCACTCCCACCTTATTACTACCTTATCATTCCTATTACTAAATCTTATTATTCGCATAATCTTATTTACGTTCGTGCTCCCCCGATTACATCCGATTCCAAACGCTCCAGCTCAAGGGGCCGCAGTACAGGGGATCAGGTGCTGCATGAACAACGCTGTCTCGCCGTCCCTTCTTCTTTAATACACCTCAAAGGCGACGTCCTCTCATGGAAGCTTTGGCGAACAACCTCTATCTACAACGGACGCGGCTTTTTGGACGTGTTTTAGGGAAATATATTGAGGGTTGGATCTTAGAGAGCAAAGTGCGAGTGAAAATCAGCGTCTAGACATCTTTTTTTTCAAGATGTTGGAGGTTGATTTTTGTTTAATGATTCTTTATACGGTTATGAAATGGGGAGTTGTGAAAGTCGTTAGAATTTTTTTTTAAGCTAGATTTTAATACATGCTGGTTTCAAAATCGAGACTTAAACTTACACTGCTTTCAAAATCCAGGATTGAATTCATACTGCTTTCAAAATCCAGGATTGAATTCATACTGCTTTCAAAATCCAGGACTGAATTCACACTGCTTTCAAAATCCAGACTTTGATCCCTTTAACACCCGTCCAACAAGGGTTATGCCCTCGACCTTTTTTCTTTCTTTCATACGCAGTTTTCTGATTCCCTTTCCATTCTTTCAGATCCTCCTCTTCTCTTCTTTCTAATCCTCCTCTTCTTCTTTCTGATCCTCCTCTTCTCTCTTTCTAATCCTCCTCTTCTCTCTTTCTGATCCTCCTCTTTTTCTTTCTAATCCTCCTCTTCTCTCTTTCTAATCCTCCTCTTCTTTCTTTCTGATCCTCCTCTTCTCTCTTTCTGACCTTCCTCTTCTCTCTTTCTGATCTTCCTCTTCTCTCTTTTTGATCTTCCTCTTCTTTCTACGCAAGGACAAAAGGCTTGGGCTAGGGCTAAGGACTAGGGACCAGGGACTAGAGATAGGGGTTAGGGACCAAAAGCTAAGGGGACCAGGAGCTAAGGGACCAGGAGTGAGGGACACCAAAGCTAAGGGGTCAGGATTAAGGGGACCAAAAGCTAAGGGGACCAGGAGCTAAGGGGACCAGGAGCTAGGACGAGCAGAAGGACATTTCCGCCAAAACGCAAGGCAAGCATCCACAGGCGGACCAATCTATCATGATCTGTCATCATCATCAGATATTAGTAATTCTTGTGGTGTGTCTACGAGGGATCCACGATGATGGACAGGGTGTAATGGTGGTGGAGGATGGCCATGAAGGATGCGGAGGTGCTGACGTATCTCTACACCCCCAGCAGGAGGGAGTGTACGTGTGTATGTTCGTTGGGCTTCCAGGGTGATGACTTGGTGTCGTTTTTTGCGTTGGTTTTGAGGTCTTTTGCGTTTCCGAGGTAGAAATGCGATGAAGTTTGGCCGTCGGGGAGTTTCTTTTTGATTGGCTCTGTATTCTTTAAGGTTGCCAGGTATGTTTTTTTTCTTCTTCTTCTGGGCGCCGCAAGTTAAGGATTCTGAAAGTTTCTTGTCTTTAAGAATCGGGTGAGTTAGGGATAGTACATATAAATACAGCGTAATTCTCCGTAGATAAAATTTATTTGTGCGCAATTGGTTTAATCTTTTACA